GTGGAACTCTCGCTGGATCTCCCCAATGACGTACGAGGAGGGGGGAAGAGAAGGTCGGGAGGGAACCAGGTCGTTCCTCACACACTCACTCACTCACTCAGAAGTCTCCTTCTGTAGTGTTCACTGCCCTTGCACAGCCATGGTATGAAAAACATGTTGCTTGGCGGTTGCATTGAACCGCCTTCCGTGTTCTGCAGTGCTCACTACCCTTGCATGATCATACCACGAGTAAAATCATGCTTGTCGTCGCAGCTAGCCTCCCTCTTCCTTCTGTACCGTAGCGCTGAATGAAGATCCTCGGCTTGCCTCAAGTTAGTGTCAAAACTGAGGTCCTTGATCGGATGACGTTGGTTCACAGGTAGCAAGGAAACTCCAGTTTGACATGGACGCACTTAGAGCATTCAGCCAGCGCAGTCCGCTGCCCCAAAAAGCTAGCCAGGGTGGAGAGTGACAACGGTTAGTCTGCCCCTGGTACCAATTTCCTGACAACTCTCCATCTCCCACAGGTACCGCTGAAGTACAAGCCTCAACAAGAATCTAGAGCATTCAGCCGTTGCTTTGCGTTGCCATCCTGAATGCAACCTGCGCCCACTGTCGAAGCTTGAGTGGTAGCAGTGGGTTTCCCTATCAATTCTGCACGACGCCGACTGAACTGCTTCGGATAAGTACCAGAAGGAGCTTGTTCCCGGTTGTTAGCAATGGCCATAGAGGTCTGTTTTGCGATTGATGGTTTACTTGTTCATGACCTTTATTAGGTATCACATATAGGACAGTGCATCACGGGAACGGATAACACCACCGGCGGGGATGAGTACTGCCAACAACGAAACACGGAGATATTAATGTTAACGAAACGTACGTTGGCAACAGCGGCTGTCGAGTCCACACAGGGGAGCTTTGCCGTGCTGTGGAAACGCTCTGTAAGTCTCGGTTCCAGTGGAGGAAGCATGAAAAATACAAGACAGACGCAAAGAATGCCAAAAGCATCAAAGGGCAATGGCAAAAAGCAGAGATTGTGCTATGGTTGTTGCGTGTTTGCTTAATGCACAACTTTGTACCAGGACCTCCAATCTGTATCTGAACAGGAAAGAGAGGGGCCCTCAGTGGGCTGGCTGCAGCTTGTCGATCTATTTGGGCCTTCCCAGAACCGCTTACCGGGGTCTGCACAATCCTTTTCGAAGTAATGCACCGAACATCATAGCTTTTGCTCACATTCCATTCAAGAGAGGTATGGGTTCGTAAAATCAGCAGTGGCGCGCAGATCTCACGGACTGAGCAGGTGGTGTACGCCTGGGCCGACAGTACCACCTGCACGCTTGCGCCTGAGCGAGATACAATGAGACTGGTCCCTGCTGTGAGGAATTCCTGGCGACTATCCGCGGCCTGACTCTTTGTCTTGCTCTGATGCTGTTTTCGCTTCACAGAGAAGGTGCCATGGGACTTTGCAAACTGATTGGAAAGGTTTTTTCTGCCGGGGATGTTTGCAAAAGGGTTCTGAACGAGCCTGCTCAGTTCTCTTGTTTTTGGCACGAGACGGAGGGACATGTTCCGAATTTGGATCGATTCAAAGGCCCTGGAGTCTTTTCATACCTGTTGTCCGCAGCACGTCACTTCGAACTGTCGGCATCATAGCCTTGTCGCCTGGGACAGCCATGGAATCTGAGGCCAGCAGAAGTTTTCGCGGGCTTGGCTCGCCCGGCTTAGCTTCGCCTGGTGCCCAAATCAGAATGTTGGGCTGCAAATTTGCAGAACAACTCAGTTGTTGCCTTCTTCGCTGCTGCCATTTGATGACTCCCAGCTTAGGCTTTCCTGGGCTCGCTGGCAAGCAGCGTGCATGCTAGGACCTCGAAGAAGGAAAAAATCGCCCTTGAGTAGACAGTTCCAGCCTCGGCCCAGGTGACGACCTTCAAGGCGGACTTGTGTGGATCCTTATGATTTAACTCGAAAGCACGAGCGTCAAGGTCTTGTGAGGATTTGAAGATCTGAGAGCACCGCCGCTTGCTGCGCTTGTCCTGGTTTCTCGATGCGGAGTGCAAGCACTTCCAGAAGAAAAAAGCAGCGGCTTAGCTCCCGTCAACTCACCTTCCAATTTCCCTGACCGCGTGACAGGCTCTGACTGCCTCAACTCCGGACAGGCCTGTGAATCTAATCTTGCATGGCCTTTTCTTGCTTTTGCCTGTTCACAAAGGCCCTCAAACTCGAAGTGGCTCAGCGTGACTAGCTTGGCTTCGTGTTGCCGGCCGGAGGTTGATGCATCGGTAGCACTGCATTGTTGAGCCATGCTGAGCCTTGCTGTTGGATGAAAGAGCCCCTGAAAGGCTCAAATCATGAAAAGCCTATCTGTCATTATTGATCTTAGCCGGTCTTAGCCTGAAGATTCACAGTATTTAGATTTGAAGATGCATCAAATCCTGTGAACGCTGCCTGTGGCAAAACTTCTCGCTGGCAGTTGGCTTAAGAGAACATCCATTCTGTGTTTGGCACATGCAAGGTTGCAGACAGATTGCACCCTTGTGATGATGAGGTACTCTGTGGCATGACATGTTTCAAGGACTGGTGCCTGGAGGCAGGAGATCAGGCTTCTTCAAGCACTTGTGGCTTCATTGGTTCAGCTGGGTCTTGCCAGGGAAGAGCACTCGGCATGGCCCTTGCAATGCATGTCTGTTGCACCACAAGCTTTGGACACGTTGGGTGCGGACCCCTGCCATGCTGTCTTCAGCTTGCTTTTGAGCCCCTCTGCTTGCATCTATCACAAGGTGGTCTGCCTGGTGGTGATATCCAACCAGGCCGTGGAAAGCGGCTAGGTACATTTTTTTTCATTGCTCCAGGAGCTGTTGCCAGGCACATGGCTTGGACTTCAATACAATGCTCTTTGGATGAAGCCAGCATCAGCATCAGGGGTGGCTGCCTCCTTACCACAGCCAAGGCTGGTCCCAGCAAAAGAGCTTCCGCTACGAACGAAAGGCCGTCTCAGCGGGAACTTTTTGTGCCTTCTTGGTGTATCTTTGTGTGCAGGTCGTTTTGTTGTGGGACAATCAGGGGAGCGGGTGTTGCCCCCAGACTTGCGTTTCAGTATGGGCCCGGATTGTTGAACAATCATCGATTCTGTCAACAGCCATTGGCCAAACAAGGTGATGCTAGCCTGTGTCAACTGGTATGGTGCGTCGCAAAGGCATCAGCCAGCCGTATCACGCGAGGCTTTGCTGTCACGTCTTTCTGTCCATGTCTCAGACAGATGGTGAACAATGGCTTGGATGACCAGCCGGCATCCGTTCTGGCTGCTAGGATACGGAGAAATCTGCAAGCAATGGGCGGTTTGCGAGAATGCCCCTTCGCAGGATCGCATCTTTCGGATTCAATTGCGTTCGGCTGCCTTTCAGCTTGGTGGGGAGCTTGGCAAGTACTGTGTGTTTTTTGGGAGCAATGTCAAGATGAGGCAGCTGGACAGCACTGCTTTAGCTCTGCCAGTCAACTGAGAGGAGATGGTCCTGAAAAACGTGTCGGTCCCGCATCTTCAGGTGACTTTGGGAGTGCAGCTGCTTAGTCTGGAGCCTCGATATAACCCTGCTAGGAGGTGCTGGCTGCTAATCCTGACTGGGTTGGACTTTCGCCTATGCAGGCTTGCGTTTGTCAAACCCGGTAAATTCTCACTGACCTTCAGGATGCACGCCTGCAATGCTCTGGAATGCTTTGCAGGTGTTTGACAAAACAGTGACAGCGCCACGGCAAGAGCAGCCCAGTCTCGCTTCCGAGCAGCATATAGCGTCATGGTGTGTGCTGTCACCAGGCACTCACGGACGTTGGCCTGTTGGTGGTCTTGAACAATCATGTATCTTCAGCTGGGTGGTGCAGCGCTTGCTCCGCTTTTTAGACATGCTGCTCAGAATGCCCGCAGCTGCCTGTTAGGTGCTGCAGTGGAACTGACGGAGAAGGCCTTTGGTACACAGACAGGTGGGCCTGTTGGCGTTCACCTTTAGATTCCACGCAATCCTCCGCTACCCTTCCCGTGAAGGGCTTTCGATTGCCCAAGAAACTGCTGCTCAATATGGACTAAATCTGTTCGGGAAAATGTCTTGTTGGCTTTTTCGGAAGACCTTGGGCGAACGACGGCTGTGATTGGATAGCATGAGCCATCAACGCCCGGGGGGACCTGAATGACTGGTCATGTTGACGTCTTGCGATTGCTGCAGCATTGTTGAGTTCGGACAAGATGACAGAGAATGAGTGACAAAAACAAATCTCATCCCGAAGAAAAGGGCTGGGATGGGATTGTGGGACCTATTTGAATGCCTTGAACGCCATCACCGAGCATCGAAAAGTCTGCAGATCCAGGCAGATGTTGGCATTCCTGCGTCATTACGTTTGCATGAAGTAGCTGGCAGTCTTCATGACATGCCGTCGATGTTGTGCTGCTCATGATGACACTGCCGCATTGTTGGGGAATGCTTATCTGCATGCTGGTCAGCTCCTGGCAGGTACTCCGAAGAAGCATGGCTGTCGGGGATCGGGCTGGTCGCGCGCAGGTGGCGATGGGTTTTGCTAGCGCGTTCTGCGGATTTGACTATAGGAAGAGTGAAGGTCCCTCCCACCGACACATGGCTCTGTTTGGTAGTGGTGTGGTACGGGAGCGGGTTGTTCACCACTCCGAAACATGCTAGGGGCGTATCCAGCATATGCATCAGCTAGTGTTGCTTGAGAACTGGGCAAGCTGCCGTGTTGGTTGCTGTGTGCGTTGCCAGATATCGAGACAACCCTCGAGTTGCTGGCTTCGATTTGAGGACTGTGCGGACTGTGCAGACTGAGAGGCCGCAGCAGAAAAGAGATGGAATTTGCAGGAACGAGGTCCGTGCCAACGGGTGCACAACTCAGTCGGCTGTAGCCTGACGCCTTTGCAAGCGCGCTTAGAATCGAGGATTACCCTCCCTACGTGGGGCACGGGTGACCGTCAGACTGATTGGTCTATCGCTGCAGTCAAGGGCGCTAAGCAGGCCCAACCTCTTGCATGTAGACAGGTGAATCCCAAGAAAGTCAACCTCAGCGTTTGTCAGTGAGGTGCTTAGCCAGAGCCCGGAACTGCTCATCGTCATCTCAGGCTCTGTGTGAGCATGTTTGCTATGAACATCAGCAACGCTGGACCATCCCAGGCATCCACTTTGGCATGCGCTTGTCAGAGGTGCCGAATCGGCCAATCCATGAAGAGGACATACTTTCTGCCTTGCGCCACTGCATGAGCAACCTCACTGTTGCCGCTGGCTGCAGGTTCCTGCCCTGTGGAATCGAACTGTACCTTTCTGCAAAAATGGCTTTCATTCTGAGCATGTCGGCTGAGTCCTTTAGCAAAGGTGTACACGACGCATTTCTACTACGGCTGGTCGTTCGACCTGATGGCTTACGAGCCCAGGCTTGAGCAGATTCGAGGCTTGATGTCACTGGAACTTCATTATTGCAGATAGGGGTTTCCAGCCAAGGACATGTTGGGAAGGAACATACCCACCCTGTGTGCAACTTATCTTGCTGTTTCGCGATTGCGTCGCATATGTTGTACATGCGTAGTTCATCAAAATCCAAGGATGTTCTTTGCGTGTTGGCTGTGGTTCTTGCTTGTGGCAGACTCGCAGACCTCCACAGCAAGACCACAGGCGAATTGGTGTTGCGCTCCTCAAGTCAGCAATCCAGGGTTTGCCACAGGTGGCCCGAAAGGACTCTGAGGCGCGGAGTTGCAGAACCAAGCTGAGTTCAGACATTACTCAGACCCCGATGGGTCTTAGAATGCAGGTCTTGCCATTTTGCAAGCTGTGGGAGCTCTTCGCTGCGACTGTTGTTCTGACCTTGCAGGCGCCTTGCTCTTTCTCTCTCTCTCTTTCTCTAGATTGCAAAAGGCTCCCTTCCTTTGCTGCTGCCCTGTCTGCAGCCCTGTCAAAGGCTGTGCTCTTTTCGATAGGAGAGCACCTTGGTCAGACCTGCGGCCATGTACACATTGCAACCGCCTCAGCTGGCCTTGGTAAACGTGACAATCAATAATTCTATTGCTGCAGGACACGAAAATGTGAAGCATAACTTGTCCTATCTCAAGCGGAAAGTTGCAACTAGATCTAACAAGAAGCAGGCTCCATAACTCGCTCAGGTGTCTCCGCCAGCGTTTGTGGTGGCCACCAGCGTTGGCTTTCACATTGGCTATATCCTGTGGTCAAGGAAGGGACACTGGAACAAGCCAAGAAGTTCTTCCCATTTTGTGATGCAGGATCTTGCTAGCCTACACATTGGTTCTCTTCACCGGACTCAGTGCTCAGCAGGACCAAGGTTCATGTATGTTGCTGCATAATGCTGCATACATTTCATGAGCGCAAAGAGGGTGCGTTGCAAGGAGACAGGAAGTGGCCGTGAACGTTCGGATGGTGAAGCTGCAAAGTCCCTAGATCTTTGCATTGTCGGAAATGCTTACCCGGCTCAGTGTCTTATTGATGCTGAGAGGGAAGCTCTCCAAGTCAAGAAGATGAAGCTGGGATTGAGAAGGCAGCTCTTGATCATTACTGGCTGGCTTCAGCTGGACGCCCGATGGAGAACCTGTGTGCGACTACATTTACCGTGTAGCGACCACTTTGACACCCAATTTTCAGCCGTGACTTCAAGGCATGCACCACAACGAAAGCAACCTCAATCAAACTCGAGCAAGGATTACACACAGACTTGCATGCGTTCTCGTAGTCTACAGAGATCTTGGCCTCTGTCATCATATTTGAGGCTACTGACTCTAATCGTGAGATGTTCTGCTGCATGTGAACACTTTCAGTCACCAGCATGTGCCGAGATTCTGTTTTTTAAGGCAGAGGAGCCCCTGCAGCTGCATGGAGAGGCGGGCTTGCGTTTGCGATTTTGCTGAAACATATTTCTTGGCCAGAAGTGTTTGCAAAGGCAGGCGATTCAGTGCAACTTTCAGCGAGGCAATGTGACCTCCGGAGCAAACCTTTGAGGTAGCATCGGTATGTACAGAACTGAAAGATCAGCATTTGGCAGAGCAAAGAGCCCCTGCTTTCACTTTATTGTTGGCATGCTTCTGGTTCATGTTTAATATCGGAAGAGACAGAGATGCGGTTCAGGTTCAATGCTTTGGTGCTCACAGTGGGCCGATGCTTCGCATCAAGCTGCCTGGTGAAGCCACTTCGTGACAGGCTTGCTGTTTGAGAAATTGAAGGCCAGTGCCAGCACGGGCTCTCTGCACAGGAAAATCTTGTCTGCTTCAGCAGCTGCCGCCTTCCTGGTCTTGATATTCGTGACTGGTGGCAAGTGCGGATCCTATGCAAACTTTGAAGGCCAGCATGATGCCCTGTGTCAAAGTTAAGCTTGCTGAGCAGACCTTGGGACAGGTGAGCTGGATGCTTGTCTAGGCCGGGCCAAGGTAAGTGATTTGACTTTTCCTGTACATCTCAGTCTGAGGCCCACTCCTGACTGGAGATGGTGTCACTCCAGCCCCAGCATTGATCTCAGGCAGAACATGCAGAGATTCTCCCTCAGTGGCCTGCCCGTCCCAGGTCTGGCTCAGCGAGTCTTGATCTCGGAGCATCCAGCCGTTTGTCAGACAGCCGTGACAAGCAGCCACACCCAAAATCCATGAACTGCTCCGCCGAACATGTTGTGAACAGCGAAAGGGGTAAGGGTATGACTCAGAGTCTGACGCCACAAGGGTTACAGCATCATACAGCATCGCGTGTCCTCGGACTTGCTGCTCATGTAAATGGGTAGAGTATGATCTCTGGGACCTGGTGAAGCGGGTAGAGAGTGCGGCCTTGAGGTCTGGCCTTCAGGGGCCAACGCTAGGCTAGTGCAGTCGTGATGCTTGGGACATGCGCGCTCGGAGTTGGTGGGCATGTTGGTGTGTTGGCATCCCGCCTGGGTCAAGCATCTGTGTGATGGAGATCCTGCTGTGCCGTAAATGTGTTCAAGTTGGTGTCCACTCCTGTGCAGCTGGCTTCCAACACGTTCGTTTTCAACCCGCCCTGCCATCACGTTTGTGTCCTTGTCAGCGAACACTTTGCTTCTGTGGAGGATCCCAGTCTTGCGAAAAAGAGACTGGCTTGGCTGGCTGGGAGTGGAGGCGTCTGAGAACCTGGCTACCGCTGACCACTTGCTGCTGGTGGCATAATGCACTCCAAACGAGATTCCGTCAGATTTCTGCAAGGACTGTTCATGAAACCACCCTGAAGATTTTGTATGTGTGGGTAGAGCAGGGGTGGAAAGAGTTGTCGGGTAGATGCGACTTCTACAAAATCTGGAGGTTTCGCCTTCACAAATCTAATATCCAGGCTGGTTGATCTTGTTCCGATTGTGTGCATGGCTCGGTTTTGACCAGGGTCTGCGAAAATGGTGCTGCGTAGCAGTTTGTCCGCCAAAGTAAGCTCATCAACCTGCTAGCAATGATTCACGCAGTGAAGTCAGTTCTTCATGGATGTGGTTCTAGCTTCTCCCCATACTGGTCACTGGAACGCCTAGTGACGCCCAGACAAGGTCCAAAAAACAATTCATCACAATCTGTATTATCGAAGCAGATAAGATAATTTGATTGCTAGCACGTGTGCTGTGGCGAGGCGCGGGTGAAGGCCCGCGTGGAGCCAAGCCTGCGCAGTACACCCGAAACATCCGGAAACCGTAACCCGTCAACCCCAAATGCAGTATTCTTGAAAGCTGCGCTCAGGATGGCAATGCCTAAATCATGGATGATAAATCGCGGCACAAGCAGCCAGAAAACCTGAGCTCCATCTGTCTCTCGTTGAGTTCTTTGCTTCAAGCGTGGGTGGGATAAGCGGGTGAGCAGAGGCAGGAGGGGTGTAGAGCAGGGGCCAGGGATTGGAAGCCGTGGTGGGACCACGCAATCAACCTGAATCCCCGGGTCAAACGTCGAAAATGACCCGGAAACTCAACAAAAAACAATCTGGCTGAGGCTTTCGAGATGTACGCGCTGGGAGAGGGGATTCGAGGGGTCGGTGGATTTATCTCAAGTCCCACAAGTGTTTTGAATAAAAAGCCAATGCGCCCTGCCCTGGAATTACATCTTTTGCGTGGCTTTTGCTTTTTGGCATCCCAGCAATCCCTTTTAACGATAGCCGTGAAGCTGATTCCTTTTTCCTTGCTGAACACTTCCAAAATCGAATTGACCCCCTCCAGTGGCTTTTTGGGGCTTCCAGATCCAAGCTGTTGCACCTTGTCCAAGCTGTTTGCGTGAGGTTTGGAACCGATGTCAGCGACAACTACTGGATCTACATCATACAGTACATGAGGGAGCAAGTGAAGTGCTGTAAGCATGTTTGAGTTTTTGTCGTCATGGTCGCTATAGTGTACATAGGCGCCTTTGCCGCAGGAGCAGCAACTGGATTTTGCTTATTGGAGCATCAACGGTGACAAAAGAGGCAACCAAAGCGAGACATACGGACTTCTCCAGGCAGGCAAAGCCGCGAAACGAATCTCATTGTCGCGAGGCTTAGACCCAGGAGTTTGCATGATTGTGGCCAGGACAACAACTTCGAAGTGAGACACCCATGGAAGTTGCGAGACCTCCAGCGACTCTTTCCGAACAGATGATGCAAAAAACACTTCTGCAGCTGCGCCTGCAGCTCTGCCTGCAGCTCTGCTTGCCTCTCTGCTTGAGACTTGTGGTTGAAGTAGCTGCAGATTTGATGAGCCAGGATTCCCCTGATTTCGCTAGCCACGGCCAAATTGCGAGGTCTTGGGGGATGTGCTGTGCTGCCATTGGTTGCTTTTAGACTTGCAGGACTTGGAGGCCGTGCCTTTAGGGTGCTGCGCAGAAGCAGTGCAACAACCGAGGATACTGCTGTGTTGCTTGTGCTGCATGTGTCAAGCTCAATATAAAAGTGACTTGCAGAGGATGTGCGCGGTGAGGTAACCGGCGTTGTCCTGCTGGGGCCGTTTAGATCTGACAGACAGACTACCGCATGTGAGCGTCACTCAGGCCGGTGCTGGCAGGCTTGACAGGGTGGCTGGCTTTGATGTATTCCATCCAGCATTCCGTGCTGACAGTGCGCTTCGTGCTTCAGCATGGGTGTTTATTGTAAGCTTCTTTTTGCAAGGTACCCTTTCTCACTGGAACTCAGTACGAGTACTTCCCAATTGTTGCCACCTTTGTGGTCTGCGTCTGAGTACTTTGGTGATTAATTCAGTGCCATTGATCATGGATGTTGCAGGCGGGCTACACGGTTATTGTCTTGGAGGTCTGCAATGAACAGAGAGCAGAGCGATGCAGGGCGGGCGGGGCGTAGCTGAGCATCTGCTTGCTGTTCAGGAGCAAACTGAGATCAACAAGGCCTGGCTTTCCCGTTGCCTGCCTTATGACATGAAAGCCTTGAGCGAGCATCAAAGTAATGACCTTCCAACAAGTCTGTTTCATGTTTTATTGCTTCAGAGGCATTCTAAACATGAGCTCGGGGAGCAGAGTGGGTGGAACGGCAGCATAGCAGACGATGCCCACAAATCAGAAGATCAGGTTGAAGTATTTCAGTACTGAAGTGGGGATGGGGAGGCGTGTATGTAATAAGAAATCGGTGCGTAGATCGTACTAGCTACACTTGTACGTTTTCCTCAGATGAAAGTCAATCTACACAACATGAATGCTTTTCACGGGAGTTTCATGTTTTCAGAGCGTGTCTAGCAGGCGAGAGAAGGCAACCTGTGCCAGCATCAAGCCTGATGATGTGTTAATTAGTGGCGTGAAGCCTTGATGGCTCAAGAAGACATTGGCAGACAGAGCCGTGCTGAAAAAAGATTTGAGGTGTAAGGCTCCTGCAGAGGGTTTACTAAAGGCCTTCTGCAACACCAGGTCTGTTTCAGTTCAGGCGTGTGCGTGGGCGTGTGCGTAAGGAATTGTTTCACTGCACTGGCAATAGTTCCCTGCTGCCCATCCAGCCACCCGTCAATAAGGATGCAACTTCCAGTAGAAAAGACTTTGCCATTTCGGTCGACCAAAGAGTACACCGACGCGCGCGAGCGGTGGAACTTCCAACGTTACAGACATCCGGCTGCGGGCGCCAAAACCAAAACTGACTGCTGGGGCTACTTGCCGCTATGCATGAGTCTTTGTACCTTTGGAACACATTATGTGAAGAGACGTGTACAAACAAAGACAGGAAGACTCTGCCAGGGGAAGCAGTTGGGCCGCAAGCTGCCTAGATGTGTGGTCTTTGATTTGGATGGCTGCCTCTGGTATCCGGAGATGTATGAGTTATCATGGGACCGTGGTGGTGCTCCTTTCAGTCGCGATGATGCTGGCAACATTCGTGACAGACGTGGCTGTGTAGTGCGGTTACATGATGGGGTGGACGCTGCGCTGACTGAACTGGCAATGGAAGCGGAGTGGCGCGGTGTGGTTGTGGCTGTAGCATCTTGCTGCGATGTTCCTCCCTGGGCATTTGAACTTCTTGGGAAGTTTGAATTTGGGCCCTCCAGGCGGAAACTTGCAAGCATCATTGAAGTGCGCAAGATTCACAAAGGCTCGAAGCAAAGCCATTTCCGAGAGATCTCCAGCGAGACTGGTTGTGACTTTGATGAGATGATCTTCTTCGACAACGAGAAATATAATTGTGATGAAGTGGCTCAGTTGGGCCTTGTGCTCAGTTACCGATTAGACGGTGAAGGCCACCTGGTTCTGTGATTCGCTGAGGCGTGACATGCATCTACTGTCCCAGTGGCGTGACTTCCACGGCTTGGGAGGATGGCATCAAGGCCAGGCTTTCGGGTCCCAAAAGAGATTTCGAAGAGTCTGGGCTGTCTGGGCTGCAGGTTTTTCCGAGCGAACGCGTGCGGTGTTGCCCGTGAGCTGAGTCCAAACTTTTTGCGAGGAGAGCCTGTGCTCGCTCTGTCACTTGCTCTTCTTTCTGTTCTCTATCCTTGCCTGCACTGTCGGTACTTGCAGGGCTGTTAGTCTTGTTGTCTGTATACCATGGACATGTCGACAATGCGTAATGCAAAAAGCGAAGCGGTCGCGCTTACTAGTCAAGACTGATCAGACCAGTTGAAGGTGGGTAGCCTTTGGCAGCATGTGAGGCCGCGACAGCGCTCATCCTAGGCGTATTGGATTCGCCCTCAGCCAGGGTAAAGCTTCGTGCCAAACAGCCAGGAATGCTTTTAGCTCAGGTGTGGGCGCTTGTAGGGACGGGGGTTGATATGACAACCTCTGCCTTCGATGCCGCAATCAAGTCTGAGCCTTGGGAGATGGCAAGCTCCGACGCGGCGCGCGCAGTACATTGTAGAAGTGCAAGAAGTGTTGGATTATGTTGGATTATCAAGTCGGATGCAAGACCCGTGGTGGATGTCTGCTGTCCTCAATCACGAAGCGTTAGGTGTTATGGGTGTAGAGAGTATCGTTGAGAATGCTGACGACAAAGCGTCCGAAGCAATTTGAGAGGATATTCCAAAGTCTGTGCAATTGCAGGCAACCAATTGTCGAAGCTCTTGTTAGTTGTTCACCGATGCACTTCAATCATCCAGAAGCTATTGGTAGCTGATCTCAATGAGGACCCTGGGCCCTAGGTAGACGGACAAGCTGATTCAAGCCTGATGCTGCGAACAAAACCCTGGGAAGGATTTCCCCAGGCAGCCGGCATATTGTAGGGAACATTTGCTTGCAGGGAGACACTGGAGGATGTCTCCGAGGCGCACGCTCGCATGCGTGTCATGCGTGCTCAGTTCTGGCCTGCACATTGCAGAGATGGGCAGGTTGTCTTTTTCCTCCTCGGTGCATTGACCATCGTGGAGATCATGGACGCTCACAAAGGCTCGCTGTGGAAGGACGTGTTGAATTCCCACAGAAGCACTTTCCTGCTTGGTGAAGGCTTCGACATCATCACAAAGCTGATCCAAGCAAAGACACAGCGCGAGCTGCTGGCAGAAGCCCCAAAACAAGGAGGAGAGAGAAGGGAGAAAGGAGCATCATCCTGACAACAGTAGTCGATGTCAGATGCAGTTTGGGCCTGAGGTCATCGTGTCCGTGCTGACCTTCGTGCTGTCGTCGGTGCTCAACAACTTGACCGTGGTCATTGTCATGGCCTGGCTTCAGTCGTTTAAAGTGAAATGCCAATGTCACAGATGGCAGGTGTCTCTGCTTCAGAAGCTTGTGAAGGCCATTAAATTGCTGGGTCTCTAGATTAAAGAGACTGGCACTATCGCATGCGGACTTCAAACAAAGCCAGGACGAGCAGTTTCGCATGAGGCTTGGTGGCATTGTCGTGGTGGCATCCAATGCTGGTGGAGCCTGGACCACTGGGCTTGAAATCCGAAGTTGCGCACTTGTAGTGTTGGGTTTCACAGAAAGGGGAATCAATGTTGGTGCGTTAGTAGATCCGCGCTTCACAGCGCCTATGTGAGACACACTCCAGATTCTCATGACATTATCATGTCACCTGAGCATACTGGAAGAGTTTGTATCTTCCTAATTTTCCTCTGGGGGCCACGGAGTCTCTGATGGCCTCGTGAGCGTTAAGAACAACAGTGCTCAATGGCTCCAGTGTCTCCTAAAGCCGCTTGTAGGTTGTTGCTATTTCTAACGATGCCTCGGGTCTATTCGGGTCTGTACAGGCGTAATTTCATTTTTATCCCGCGAGCACCATCAACCTGCACCCTGACCAAGCTCGCTAGTGCATTGTTCACACTTCTACTTTGACGCGGTGCGCACAGTCCTCTTTTGCAATGCGTAATCGTACCCGTGCAGACGAGCAGACGCAAGCTGGACTCTGCGTTGAGTACGGAGCTGTTCCAGTGTCCTGGGCATTTGCAGAATGGCGAAAGCCATGAACCTGCATTCAGCTGATGTGTGCCAAAATGCTTGAGGCTAGATGATGCGAGTTCGTAGCCAGCTTGAAGCGGGACAGGACGCCTATTGGTGACATCACCACAACAATGCTCTACATTGGCGGTCAGGCTGGTGGGATGTTGCTGAGCTGAGTGCACCTTTGGGGCTATTGACACTGCATTTTTGCAGACGGTAGATTTCTTTCGCGAGCAGAAGGTGGATAACCATGATAAAGCACAACCGGCGATGACTGCAGAAAATGAAGAGTCCGACATGACCCGATACGTGTGACTTCCTTATGTAGGAACGCTGAGACGTTCGTTCCGAGGGGGTGGTAGGGCGCCAAGCACAAATGCAACAGCATGAGCATCGCAAGTGAGGAAAAGGTAGGAAGTCGAAAGCAACAGATGCGGGCAACGAAATGACAGTGTGCAATGCTTGCAGAGCCAGATGAAGCCAGATCATGTGAACAGGTAACCACTGTGCCCTTGCTGGCGAACCTTTTCGTTCCGAGCGTTCTGTGCTTGATTGGCACAGTGGGTCTGCGGCCCCAATTGCCTCCGCTGCCTCAACTCATAGCTGCCGCTAGTCCGCCGCTAAGGCTCGGCTAATGCTCTGAGCTCCGAGGCTACGAGTTGACGCAAATGGAGGACGCGCCCTTCGAACGATCCTCATCGGGCAATGAGGCAGACCCGTGCTCGTTTGACACCTGCCGTTCAACCGTTCAACTGCAATGCTGGCAGGATGAAGAGCCACCTAATGGTCAGGAGCGAAACTGTGAAGTTGCCGCAAGGACCTGCTGTGATGCGTGGATCTTTCCACACAGGCTGTGGTTTTCTGGGGTGGGCTGATCGGCATGATCACAGTTCCGGCGTTCACTGCAGGGCGCCCCAGCTACTGCGTGCTGCCGCAATTTGTGGCGTCTTGTCATTCTGAGGCTTTTACCCAGTGCCCTCCGTGGAGCGGGCTCGGGCCCTGGATGTTGTATTCAACTTCGGAGCACATATTCGCGGTGCGCTGGCAAACCCCAGGCCTTTAAACTGGCATCCTTCTTTGCATTAAGAAAATCTTGTGGTGATCCAGAATTCGGGTGTTTTCCAAAATGTCAAGACTATAGAGCGAAAGACGTAGTGGATGAACACTTTGTGGATGAGGAGATTAGTTTCGCCTTGTGGCTGAGGATGATGCTGGTTTTGGGCTTGCTTGGCTTGATCACATCGTTGTCCCAAGCTGAGCCTATGGGTGCCTTGGATCGCAGCATGTGAGCTTGCCAAAACCTCAGAGGTTGCATGAGCCGGATGATAATCGCTACTCGCTCAAGGGTGCCCTGACCCGTGTGGAGGCGCTGCCATTCCGTTCCACTCCTGTGAATGCTTAAACTAAAAAAACCTTAAAGGATTCTCTGCATTTTGGCCTGAGGAAAAAGCTCATTGTTGCTAGAATTCGTTGGCATCTCTGAGCCTGAGTGCAAACTCACATAGCGGGGCGGTAGTGCAAGGAGGTAGATGAGTCAAGCAAGTAACTCCCCTCGTCCGAGGCGGGGGTCGGTCGCAGCTTTGGCCTTCACATGTTCAGTCCGAGGGTATAGGTCATGTGATCCATCCCCCTTATCCAGGAAAAGGTGGTGACTGAGTGAGTACTTGGGAAACCTAGGTGCCGCACGGGTCGCGTTTTGCACCTAGTATCTGTAGAGGGATCTGCAGAGAAGCGTGCTTGCCAACATTGGCACTCGTCCGGGCACAGCCCAATGCAGAGGCGACGTTGCTTGTTTGGCTTAGTACCCTAACGGGGGACTATCGGAGGAAGAGCCTTTGTCGGAAGAACTTCCGCGAGTACCGGCTTTTCCGGTGGCTTGTTCTTTGCGTCTGGGAGCAAACGCTCTTGATTGACCTGGCCCTGGAACGTTGTTTCCTGGGCTGGCACGTTCGACAACGGGAACTCCAAGTGGAGGGGGCAGGGACGCTTGCGGAGCCCCCGCCTTAGGCACGACTTCTTGCACGCCCCACCGCGTGCAGCTTACTCACTCACTCAAGCAAGTAACAGAGGCCATCCTTTTTCTTCAGCAACTTGCAGAACAAATGGCTGCTAAGACCTGGGTTTTCTCTTAGGTGGGGATGCTGCATTAGTTCATGTCTTTTGACACTGGAATGGGCGCTACCTCCGCCTGACATGCTATGCCAAGAGCTTTTACATGGCAGGCCGCTTGATTGTTGGGCAAAACGGTCGCCCACCAAAAATCCCAAGCCCTGAAAGCCTAACGCTTCCGCGCGCGATGCAGCCCAAGACTTAAAAAGTTTCGCCCTAAGCTCCAATCTAAAATCCTCGAGCATTGTCCCGGCCCAACCAACTCTTAATGCTAAATCCTCAACTCACAACCCAAATCCATGCAAATCTTAAAAAGAGAAAACCATATATATATATATACATAGATATAGATATTCCCTCAAAGCGCATGCGCTAAACCCTTTCATGCTGAATTGAAAGCCTCAAACCCCAAAACCCTGAAGCAACCAGCGTTCGACGGGTTAAATCACACCGCAATCTGTGTGACGTGCTCAGTTTCCAATGCAAGCGCTGACGAGTGGGCAAAGAGCATGCTACAGAACCAGAGTCTCGGGGGCCCTCCTCGAGTTCTTGGACACCTTGGGACTAGAAAGCCGGCATCCTTTTCTGCGGTGCATACTGGGTAGGCTGGGTAGGGGCGGCGATGGTGATTGATTCTCTTTTGTGTAGAATCGGATTGCATGAAATCTTGGAGGCAGTCTCACATGTTTTCATCAGACTGTTCGGGGCTGCGTCTCCCCAGCCGCGTCGCCAGTTCTACTAGCAAAGCAAATGCCAGGTTGCCAAGCGGCCTAACAATGTAATATCTGCAACAGCAATGCCACTTCTGGGATGGCCAGCTAATGGCAACGTCAGCTCCAAGAAGAGACCTGCGTCATAATGACTTGAACCATAAGCATGAATTCCTCCTTCCCTCCTTCCTTCTTGCGTAACATCAAAATCTTTTGCCTATCTTGATACAGGGGCTCCCTTCTTTCAGCCAACAACAAGGGCTTGTATTGTTAATCAACTTCAGGAGGCCATGTCAAAAAACCTTACAGTACCTAGGGTTGATACGAAATTGAAATTCCTTATGCATTATCGTTGTTCTCGTATTTGTCCAAGCCTGGCAGCACCCCGCGCATGTGTGTGGACAATTCTATCAAAATTCAGCAGAAACTTACATGTCCTCATTTTCGTCCATGTTTTGAAAATCAAAGGTTTGTTCGCCTCACCGCCCCACCATTTGTGCCAAGGCTAAGCTTTGGAGCAACAAGTTATGTGTCCTCATCTTGGTCCTGCTCTGGAACCGGGGAGGGGCTGGCCAACCCCTCCGCCGCAATGTTTTGAAGCAGCAGCAGTGCTTGCTTGAGAAGTCCTAGCAAGATTTGATCCGGATACTACACGTTCTAACCTTCACTTCCAAATCATGCCATCCGCAATATTCGAGCATCCCAACACCTCCGAATTGCGAGCCTGCAGTACTTGGAGCCTGGGAAAGCTTTATAGCCAATTGTTGCATTTTTTTTTGCTCCTGAACACCTCCGAACTGTGGAATTTTAATGTATATCAGGCGGTAAATTTCAACCACATTACTTAACTTGCTCATCGTTCACTTAGTTTGGTTGATCCTGGGAATCCGGGAAGCGTGCAATTTGTTCTTGTGATCCTTTTGTGTCGATTATTTGATCTTCATCTGGTTTGTGACCTTTCACCTCACATCGACGAGGTGCCCGACGCACTGTTCTTTCTGGGCGTTCTTTTCGCTGTTGGTGGTCTTGAACGAGTGGGCCTTCTGAAGGACTGCAGCTATGGTGCGCTATGGTGCACATGCACAGGAACCCTGTGCGAATTGAGGAGTTTGCCATCCAACTGAGTAACTTGGTGCCCTCTGACGCCCTGGCCAAGACCTCAGATGATTTAGATCTTCAGGTGATTTCAGGAGCAGTCCGCAGCCTGGATTCGGACAGCGAAGAAAGGCTTCGCATGTGGATGTGATGGTGCCGGAGGGGGTTTGGGAACCTCTGAACTGACCCGATGGTGTGCTTATCCAACCACTTCGCATTTTGCAGAGAAGATGACGGAAGCCATTGATGTGAAACAGAGCTGCGCCCGTCGCTTGCATCTCCTTGAAATCTTGAACAAAAGGACAGATTCCGCAAGATGCCATGTATGGGCATGAGGCGTGAGGCAACAGCCTTCCGAAATTCTTGTTCGCATTCGGAGTTACAGCAGCGCTCAAGATTACTGACGATCATCCTGTGGTTGAGCTGACCACGGTAAGGTGGCGATCTTCCTGGGATTTGCTTCTGCTGTGGTGGACAATGTGCCACTTGTGGCAGCTGCGCAGGCCGCTCACTTGCCATCGAGTCGGGTAAACATGCTCACCTGAGAATTTCCTCAATGGCAGGGCATGTACGACATATCGGTTCATCCTGCCAACGACGGCCTGTGGAACCTGATCACGTGACGCCGGGCTTGAACAACTCTTGATCAGACGGGAACACCCAAGGAGTCCGCCTGCCAAAGATTTTTCAGGTACTGTGCTGCAACAGGTGGCTCTCTCCTGGTCATAGGTTCTGCGGCAGGCGGGGGCTTACTTCGTGCCTGTTTTGAAGTTCGTTGATCATGCCGGAGGCGTCGCATTCATGGGAATGGAGAGGAATGTCTCATTTGGATGGTGCCATATGACTCACATGTCCATGGTGTTTTTGCAGAGTGCTCCTGCATCAGTCGTGCATCTTTACACTCTGCACGTTGAGGTACTTCAAGAGCGTAGCCCCTGCCGCGCTGGTGGGCTACTTCCTGGGTGTTGCTGGTGTGCTGGGCCAGCAGGTTCGTGATTTTCCTGAGTGTTGATCAGCATTGTTTTTTCTCGTTTCTCTGAGTCATGACATAGAGGCGCTGGGACTGAGCGTGGCATAAACTGACCTTGGGCCTGGGCCTTGCTTGTTTAGCTGATTGGTTTCCACGGAGCATGACTTGACATGCTCTCTGAACGTTAATGTGCTTGCAAATTAATTCAGCTGCAGGCCTATGCCTGTCCAGAGGTGCATTGCAACACAGCAGGTTGAGGCTTTCAGCAAGGAAGGTGCCAACTACGTGGGGCAAAAAGAAGTATGGGGGAAGGAAGATAGTCGCTGTCAGCATGGAGCTGGCCGATGAGCTCACACGCCAAGGCCACAAGTCCAAAAGAGGTATTCACAGGTATCCAGAGCATTCGAAAGGTTTTTTCAGGCAGAGGCATCCCGACCACTTTGGGTCGAATGTTGGACTCCAACCTTCAAGTGGGTTGCACTTGCACCTTCATTCTTCATTTGCCTGGTTGAGTTACCTAAATAGCTGTGTGTGCGACTGGCGGAGGAGTGAAAAAGTGTGCTGGACAAAAAGGTGGACAGACTTGCTCACCTGAGTTCCAACAGCTGCACGAAACATCGGAGTTTTGTTGTGGCAAGGCACGATGAAAGTTAAAAGCATTGAGCCGCAAGCGTTGCCACGAGACGCTGTCATGCTCAAGCCCGTACAGAGTCATACTGTAGCCAAGCTCGCTTGATTATGTCAAGTTGTTAGTGGTGCCACATGTTAAGACAGCTCACCTTCGCTCCGGCAAGTGCAGAAGGCCATGGCAAAGGTGGACAGCTCTGGAGGTCAAGTCGCCAGCCACATCAGCCACTTCAGAACTGCAGCATTTCTACGTGCAGCAGGTGGTGAAGTTCATGAAGTTACCAAAGTGCAGGTGCTTTTTGATCTAGAGTCTAGAGGTTGCGGTCACGCAACTTTGGTGCAGGCTTTCCGACTTCCAGTTTGCTGGATGATCACTGGGGCTCCACTCTGCGAGGCTGGAAGGGCTGCAAGCACAGACATGACACGTGGTCCGATGTTTTGCAGAGGTGGATGCAACGCCAGGCACAAGCATGGCAGAAGTCCGCGCTCAGGTGTGTGGGTAGGTCGTTATGTTGCAAACTCAGCGATACTCAGTTGGCTTAGCCTGCAGGTCTGTAGGAGAACAGGTGTACCTGTTGAGCAACAAAGGCTGTTTCATGAAGGCACGGCCGTCTGCACACTGATAAGCTGCAAGCCACAAATCAAGTGAGAATCTGCAGGTTTGGAGCTCTCGCAGCAAGTTGATGTGTCCCAGATGGGCCAGGACCTGGGCAAAGGTTATCATTTCCAGTTCATGTCTCATGAAGGTTGGCTTTGAGTTGGTCTGGTACTAGTTGAGGTGAAAGCATGAACGGCATCCAGTTCAAAACTCAGCCGTTTGTGTCTCTAATTTAAAGGCACCTTGAACTTGAATTTTTACGTTGTGCTGAAGGTTGCTACGCTGCCTGAGCGATCCCAGAAACACGAACCGGGCGCACTTCAGCAACAATCTCAGGCTGGACGATGGCGTCGTAACGGACTCAGGCATTTGCCGTAGTTCTGTCGGTCCTGTGACGGTGGCAAAGCATGAGGTTGGTAATTTCTCTCGGGTCAAGAAGCTTGGAGATGCCATTTATGGCGAGGCCATCTCGGCACCCTAGATTGATTTCGTACCTGTCTTACGGCTCGCACGGAACCAGGTTGGGCAGTACAAGTGGAAACGTGGTGACTGCGTTGAGGAGGTGGCTGTCAAATGCAGGAATATCGAGAAGGCCGAAATGTCATAGCAAAGCTATTTTTGGATCGCAGATTCCTGGAGGCCCGGCAAAATGTTGGCAAGGACTTCTTTTGACAACATGTTGTTGAGCTGCTTGCATCAAACGGCATTCTCAGTAAAGTATACCACCATCAGGACACAAACGAGTGGACTGCGCACCTGTCTGGCCAGAACGCACCCGATGCGGAGGATTTGCAGGGATCAAAGATGTTGTAAAGCAATTCTAAGTAACTCTAAGTACAAGGATGCTTTTGCAGAAATCGGCATCCTCCAGTATTTGTTCAGTTCTCAGTCGTTGACACGTGACAGCTAGGAAGTGATCTGGCAGTGCACAGAACGTGCTTGGCAAAGGTCAAAGCAACCAGATTTACCGTCGTTCCTGTCTGGGCCTCACTAATTAGACCACGGAGGTTTTTTTCGGGCTGCTTGTTGTGGTCATGCGGTGTTCAAGATTCATGTGGTGTTGCGAGTGGAGGTCCGCCATAAGGTACCCAGCCGATGATAGGCTACAAAGTTTTTTACAAGGACAAGCCTTAATCTACGAAAGCTACATCATGCTTTGGTTGATCATCAAGCACCAAGATGTCAACTTATATCTCGAGTTGACAAGCTACAATGCGGCACGTAAGGACAAGATGTCAGGACCTGACCCCACCTGGTGAGGTCGCTTGACGGATGCTTTGCTTAACACATTTTCGATTAGATGGCAAAGGCGACAAGGAAGTTACGAAGTTACTGTGTCATGAACAGTTCGCCCTGCCATGGTGTCCGCTGAGATTAGCCGAGCTTGGCGGTCGTAACCATAGTTTTGAGTTTTGTACTGGTAGTGAGTAACGCAGGCAGACCAGACTTGGATTAGATAAATGCAATGAAGAAACAAAAGGTCTTCAGCATCTGCATTTGGACAACAGTGGGCTGGAAGCTAGCATGGAATCCGGGATCTCTCGCCGAATGACATACTTTCCTTCAACCAGAGCAGGGACACTGACTTGCCTTGACTGCACCTAACACCGCTCCAACCAGGACACATCTTCGAAAACGAGATTAAATGTAGAAGCTCGCCTGCACAGCTACGCAGCCCATCAATGTACAGCTGCGAAAACAGGATGCGGAGATTCAGGTCTTGTCTCATAGCATGCTCAACAAAACCTGACCGTCAGCAATGACATCTTGGGCAGCTACAGGAACTTGCGACAGTACAGGCGCGACATTTGAAGGGACAATCTGCGTCCGCATGATGCCGCATCAAATCTTCGCCATCACGATTCAGCTTGAAAACATGCTGGACATTGCTGGACCAGTGCACAACGAATGAGCATAATTTTGTCGACTAAGCTACATGTCGACTTTGCGACAAGATCCAGGCGCTCTACATTGCTGAAGAGGTTCAACTTTGACAATGCTGATGTTTGCCAAGTCGGCCCCTCCTGCAGCATGCATAGAATATATCCAGCAGTGAGGGTTTACAGAAGAGAAGGCTGTGGAAACAAACAACGTTTACATTCACGGTGGTCCAACAGATTCCTAGCTACTTGCGAGGCACGGTGAACTCACAGCCGATGAGTTAGGCTATCAAGTTGCCATTGTTATGAGGTTAGGAGATGTAAGGGACTCACCCACCGTTTGCACCTGAACTCAAAATAGAAAGAACCAGCTAGCCATTGGAAGCGTCCAGAATCAAGTGACTGCAAATCCCCAAGCTCCCTTTTGGGGCAACCATTTTGGGCAACCATATCAAACCATATCTACCCTGAGTTTTGAAAGAAGCGGAGAACGTTAACCTAAGGTGGGAGCTCCGCCCAACAGAATGTTGGCAACAAAAACATACAAAGCTAATTTTGGTCAAATCATGGTGTCAATTCGTCACTAAGCGAAGAACATCCTCACTCCTAGCCTGCCTGCATTGGATCTGTTGGCTTTGTGAGGTGTCGACTGCACAACCTGCCTTTAAAAAGTGACTGTGTGGGTCAACGGGAGCAGCCAGGACAACACACAAACCAACCACTGGTTGGTACCAGTCTTCCGAGAACCAAATGCTTTTGTACTTGAAACCTCAATGTTTGTAACAATTGAGAACGTCATGATCTCAGCTGCCTGCCTGTTCAAACTGATGACAACAAGCTGCACATGCTGCACCCTTCCTTGGGGCACAGCGGCAATGCGACGCAACTTTGCAAGACCTGCCTGACATGATTTGACATCTCTTGTTGATCATGCTCAGAGCACGAGCTGCAGGCCCCACTGTTCCAAAACCAGGGATACGGGGACCTTGAATAATCAGATCCCGAGATTGCTTGCGACCAACCTTAGTAGTAGACAAACCTTAACTTTGAGACAGTAAATGTTGGACTTGGACTGATACAGGAAAAACCCTGTGAACCAGTTGGCCCGCACAAAGCGGAGCACGATTTTTTTTGGGCTTCTGTCTTTGAAGGCCTGGGCATGTGGCAGTACAAGAAGCAGAAGGAGGATGTATATTCGTATTTTTGGTTTGGGGGAGCAATGTTTCGAGCGCCAGCTCTTTAAGAGGATTGTGCCGGAACTCATCAGTCAGGGTTGTGTCCTCGGTGGAATGCCCAGGGTAAAGCTGGGTCGGTGGGCTGCGGGAGGAAAGGAGAAGCGCAGGAGCAGTGATGCTCATGATGCTGCAAATCGGCTGCCCACCCTTGGAACGTTGCTGCTTAGACTCGTCAGGAACCGCCTGGTGCTCCCACCGTGAGTTCTTGGTCGGCAGGGTCTTCGAACCCCTGGCGAAAAACGAAGGTTGCATGATGTTTTCAGAGCCGCCCCAACAACGGAGCCCGACGTAGGCCAGATTGGGTGGGCTGCTGAATTTCCGATCTCGGCCTGAGGTAGGGTGGGTTTGCCTCCTTTTTGCTTCTTGGCCAGGTCTGCCGAAATTCCAAGCTCCCTCAAGCGCCTGGTAAAGCCAGCAAGCCCAACTAATACACGCAGGCCTGATGATGCTGTCCGCTACACCTGTGATCTAATTTTTGCCAGCCCAGGCAGAGGCCCATGTCATAGCAAGAACTGCAGTCTGAGAGGTTTATTGTGGAGTGGAGGCTGCCCAAAAGCTGCTACTAGAAATCAGGCGTGGCTTTGCATCCTTGTCATTGTGCCCCGCCAACCGTGTGTAGCAGCCTGTGGGGCCCCACTCATGGGCTAGCTTAAAAACAATTGAACGCGAGAGGCTGCTACACTCCTTGGCATCATCACCAACAACTAGTAATTAGTCCATGCCTTCAGCTCTGTCCACAGCGCTGCACTGGAGAACTGGCCCCAACCTACGGAACAAGGGACCGCCGGGGACGATTCAGAATTTGTTTGGCGCGAATCTTAACACAACCACCGCAAGAAAGACAAGCTGCAAAAGCAGGCCCGGCACCTTTTCAAGAAAAGCACTCTTTCTTCCTCAGGGAGCAAACTTCAAACAAACCAATCACGGAGAACTGATGGCGAGCTGAAAAGATGCAAAAAGATTAATGGCAGCAAGCACGTAGCAAACTACCAAGAGACCACTCACGGACAGCAACCGCAAGCCCCAACCTGGTGAAAAGGTTTCAAACCTCACTCAACTGAAGGTGGTGGTCTTCGCTTGTCGGGGCTTCGTGAAGCTAATTGGCATTCGCCGATTTGCCCCTTGGCTCTCACCTGCCCGCCTCTCCATGGGCATTGCATGGGGGCTGGGGGCCACCTTGTTTGTGGGACTCGAACCCCAACCGAACAATTTACCTCTCCCTCGAAAAAGACATGCTTTTTCTTGGCAAGAACCTGAGTTTCCTACCTCTGATTGGAGGGAGCCCATAGCTCGCACCGGTTCGCGCAAGACCCGGGCGAGCCGACCATCTCATACCCCGACCGAACGCTGCAGGAATGGCGGCCGCTGGGGACGGCTAACTAATTCCCTTGGTCTCCGAACCTGGATCTTTACGCCCGAGCCATCCGGCGTCGGTAGATTAGCATATAGGGTGAGCTCCCACCTCGCGGTCAAGCTTCGATGTAGGCTCAAGGCTCTGGCCGCATTTACCCATGATTTAAACATGTGGCGAGCTCAGCTTGTTGATTGCCGAGTTTAGTTTTGAGTTATTTCCAGTTTGCCCTCAACAGATGGCTTGTGACCGAACTGGCAGAGGGTGGAGAGTTGCTGGCCAGAAGCCTGGCATGTAATTCTTGTTTGCAAGGGAGAGATCCTATCGCTCCTATCGTCAACTTGAGGAGGCAGTGCAGACAAGACGTGTAGACGAGTGCCAGACGAGGCCTTCTGCGACATCGTTGCAAAACTCACTCAACAAATGTATCAGCCTGCGGAAAGCCTCGCCGAAGGGCATTGACAGATCACTTGGCCATAGTTGTAATCCTTTCTGCGGCTTCTTAGCTCCACTTGCATGATAGCAACCCGCCTATCAACTGACGAATGCTAGCGCTTGCAGGCGGTACTTGTGGCAAACGCTACAAGCAGTCAAATGCTCAGTTGGTCAGAATTTGCCAGCCATTTCAGTGAAGTGCGTTCAGTGGTGTCACTTGAAGGTGAAGTACCTCCATGCTCATGACATAGGCAATCAACATGCATGCTAAGAAAAGCCGGAATGTTTCATCAAGATGAAAACTCAGCACACGGATCGGCTCCTGCCAGGACACAGGGACATTTCCCTGGTTCTTGCCCAAGAGACTTCTTAGAACACTGATGCTTCGTGAATCTATCTTTGAAACTGCTGTGGCAGTGTGTCTCGACTGAGGAAAACATCTTGCTGAAAGGCGACGACATCAGGCCCAGTTGTTTCTGCCAGGGCTTTGATTTTTCTGGACTCAGATACTTCCCCCAAATGAGACAACTACCCCTGGCAACTACAGGCTAGGTTTTTGCTTACCTCCTTAGCTTGCATTCTCATCGTGTTGGGTTCTCCTTTATCTTTGTTTGCCTTGCGCCGACGATAGCCGTCTTGCGTAAAACTCTATTTTTGCATGAAATCCGGGTTCGAGTGCATCTGAGTACTGGTGCATCCATATCGCGAGTGCATCTGATTACAAGAGCATCCACATCCAAAAAACAGGATGACGTTCATGTTCGTTTTGCATGCGATTACCAGTGCATGCATGCCCAAACCATAACAAGGTTCATGTTCCTACGGTAACTTGTGCATCCTTGCTCCAACCATAATAATGATCATCCACGAGCGCATCCTTGTCCAATTCATGTTATTGTTCGTGTTCGAGCGCATCCTATTACCATTACATCCATATCCCAACCATAGCAACGTGAATGTTCGAGGGCATACGCACAAGCTACGCACAAGCTTCGCCCTGTTTGTCCAAGTTTGTGTGCAGTGTTGATCTAATTTTGCAGTCGCCCCCGAGTCCAAACTTCGTCCCATTAGTCCAGGGATCTTTCCCAGCAGTCCACGCTTCGCCCCATTAGTCCAAGCTGGTGAGTGCTTCAATTTTATGACGTGTGCGCAGCGCTTCAAATACTGACCACCGTGGGACGAAATCCAGGATTCTTGCGCTTCAGATATTGCAGACCCAGAAATCCGAAAGCTGCATCCGACCTCCCACAACACCTTAACTGGCTGCTCAAAGCAACGGCAGGCGTGGGACGCAACGTAAGTTTTTCTGCAAGAAATACGATGGACATGGCTTCCGGGCATCAGCCTCAATGAGGTAAGCACATAGGTGCAATGACATGTTTCGCACCTTTGCATTTTACCAATTCTCTGTCAGACTTGGAACTATGATTGCGCCTGTGAAGTAAACACGTGCGCGAAGGCTCATCATTGCCCAGCATGGGACGAAATCACGGATTCGCATCTTCTCACGCTTCTCGTTTTACAAGCCAAATCCGAAGACCGCATTCGACCTGCAAAACCACCTGAACTGGCCGCCTCTCAAAGCACAGGCAGGTCTAGATGAACCGCGAATTCCACGCAAGAACCACGATCCAAATGCAAATATGACTGCGTTCTGAAAACGAGTTTGCCTGTGCGAGTACTGGGAGGCGCAGGGCAAAGTCCACATCAGATGCGCTTTTGACCCAGGGCCGCTAACGCCAACGTGACCGCGTTTGGACTTGGCTTGCGCACGATGCTAATTTCATGGCTAGTGGAAGTTCCAGTAGGATTCATTCTCGCGCAAAGATGGTACCTGGCGTCAGAAGCAACGTGCCTAAGAGCAAGGCGTATTGACATGAGTTGCGAATGGCTAGACCTTGAGCACAGCTTTTGTTAAAAAAGCACGCAGGGGTGGTGGTTTACGGATAGGTTCTTAAGATCGTCTCAAGAGGCTCATGGATTTTGGCAACGCCGTTCAGAGCCCGGTACCCAGCTGCAGCTCTGCGGCTCTTCTCTGCTTCGATTTGCCAACCTGGAAGGCCACTCGGTGAATGGACAAGAGCTCCGCTACTTCCTTGCTGCTCTGGGCCTAGATGACAGGTCTGATGACAGGTCGAACATGATTTCTGGCAGCTTTATCAGCACTCGAAGTCCACAAGTTTTTGGGTCGAGGGTGAGAGCCTTGTTTGTTTGTCCTTTTGTTTGCTTGCGCAGCGTATGCAGTGTCCAAGCTGCGTTGATCACTGAACCAACCCAGTGCTTCGGCAAGTCCACCTACTTGTATCACGTAGATACAAATTCCTCTTGACTGACTTTCTTCATCTGCATCCAGCTCTGAGCAGCTACTATGATGGCTCTTCACGGAATTGGTAAGAGATCTCGAAGATAAGCACAAGCCATCAAAGATCTGTTTTGGAGCTCTCACAAGCTCTTTCAGGATGTTTCTGGAAGGCTCTGAAGGCGGCTGACGCAGCCTAAATACCTTGTCTGCTGGAAGAGATGAATTGGTAAGGATGATTTTCGGGGAGGAGCAAGGGTGTGTTTCCAAAATGGCTGGCACCACAGCACAGGGAGCAAGGACGCGCGTAATGTCACACGTAACAGCAATTTTTCATTGCGTTGGCTGCAATTCGCTTGCACATCCAGTTTCTGCTTCTTACAGAGGATTGTCTGCTCTGCACCATACTTACTCGAGATCCCAGTGTAAGCAGCCATTCCCTCCTCCAAAGAGGCAAGCCTAAAGCCTAAAGCCCAAGTTGAGCCAAGTTGCAACATCTTACAGCAAAAGCCTGAAAATCAAAGGTGGGCAAGGACACCTATAGAGCTCCAGAATGCTTTGTACCACGACAACCCGATGCCAGAGCAGCTTGGCGGCAATCGAAAAGACGAAAAGGATGTGGTGACCAATGCAGCCCCAAGGGTTGAATGAGGTCGTTGTGCCGGCAGGCGCCCGGCCTGGTGACGTCATCATTCACAGAGGACCCACATCACTTTGGCAGGCCCAGGGCTTAGTTGCTTATGTTGGCTTTGCAAAGCCCCGCCTCGTGACTTTGTGGTTGCTGCTCCTGAGCAACCCCCACACGCGCAAGACCCCGCAAGCGTCGCTACAGACAGTTGCACTGCTATCATGCAAGCTAAGCTTCCCTGCAAGCGCTAGAGGGAGCTGCTGCTGATTTGCGTGTTTCATTCCGATGATTTTTTGTTCTGTACCGTGTGAAGAGAAAGTTCATCTGGCTGGGTCTAATGTAGACGTGCTGCCAGCAAAAGCAACGAATGAAGCAACCATGATTCAGAAATGATGGCACAAATTTCTTAGATGGTTCGAGATGTGACTCACTACTAACAGCAACTCTTGCAGTTCCATGAAAATGTGTTGTTATGGATGGACCATGCCGGGAGCTTTTCCTGAGCTTTGAAATCTTTAGAACACATGTAGTGGAAACGCAGTTGCCCTCTTTTCTCCCAAGACAGTGATCCTTGCAGCCTCCCAGTAGCCACTGAGGCTGACAAACCACTAGGGAAGGAGCATGATCAGGATCTAGTCATGATTTTCATGATGATTTTTGTTTGCAGGGGCAGATCGTGCTGCGTACCGGTACCAGTCTCCTACTGAATAGACATGAATAGACCTTCAGTTGCCTGCTCCGGCTATCGTTCGAATTTGTCCGCAAGCGTCTCGGAGACAGTGGTTTGATCTCGACAGGTCCGCCTGCCGGAAAAAGCAACAGCTGGTGCGCATCCAAGTTTGCTTGGACGAAGTGTTTTCGTATCAGCTGTAGCCTGCAGCTTCCACTTTCCTGCCTCAGGTCAAGTGTGCCAAGCAGAGACTTGGGGCTCGAAGCTGAGGTGAGGGCTGACCATGGTGCCAAGCGTCCAGCTTAACAAAGCACTCAGTATGTTAGCCAAGAATCATCAAGAGCTAAGGCTACGCAGTGCAACCTGCAGATGTCTTCTCCTGTGGCCAAGCTCCAAGCATACGACCTGAGTATACCTGAGCCGACACCTGTCGTCAGGTGTCTTCATGTTAAGGGCATTTTAAGAGCTCGATGTCTGCATGCATGCCTCCCACAAAGGTGTGTGCTTCTTCTGTATGAGCAGGGCACTCAGTCGCGCCGACCTTGCCATGCTGGATTGAACAAGCACCCAACTGCGAAGTGCTTCAACTTTCCGCCAGAATACAACAGCGGCCCGTGGGTCAGCGCGCAGCTGACAGATGAGTTCTTCGCATACGTCTATGCCAACCAAGAGAATGGGCTGATGGTGCGACAGTTGTCCAAGCTTCGGCAGCAAATCATAACAAGCTTGCAGGAGTTGTTGAAGCACTGGGGCAAGCCTCTGGGTGATAGCGAGGCCGAGCAAGCCAGTTTTAAACCTCTATTCCCCAATGGCCCACCGAGATTGATACTGTCCATGGGATGCGAGGCGATGAACCTCCTCCTGAGCATGCTGAAGGTGGATCCTCTTTCCCGTCCAAACGCCTGCTCCTCTCTGAACTTGCGCCCACATCCCGATGACCTCAAAGCTGTGTGAGATGAGGCGGACCAGTGCTTGCAGAGTGGCTGGCTGAGCCCTTAGCCAAAGCGCCGAACACGCGCCGACATGTCAGGGCCATGGGGCACCGTGAGTCGCTAGAGGCTGGCGCAGATGACTCAAAGCCAAGTTCCTCGACATCAGCAATCTTGCGAGATGATCATTTGATATTTATGGAGAGGCCAGCCTAAGTGCTGCGCTCCTTTGAAGCCTGTGATGGGCGCTTGCAAGTCAAGAGCTGTGGTCAGTCGCCAGACCAATCTGCTGGCTGTGAGCAGGACCTGTGTGCGGGAAGCTGCACGCCTGCTTGTAGCATCACTGCATGCAGATGCAGTGCAGATGTCTTAGCTTTTGTTGTCATAGGCGAGGACGACTGTGCTGAATGCGGTGTGCGCACTTTAACATTAATTGGGTATGGGAGAGTCTCATCCCCTTCCACACCCGCAGATCTGTTCATCCAGCCTTGCTGGCACAGCATATGTCAGCATGGCATCAGCGGCGTACTTGGCATGCCGTTCGCCTCTTAGCAGCACACCAGTGGTGCTGCGTGTAGTCGGGGTCCCTTTGATTTGGATGAGTTCAGCCGACTGAGGTCCTTGCTTGTTGTACAGATCCCGCGTGGAAACCAAGTGAGGCACGAGCTTGAGGCAAGCGCAATCAGCTGCAACCACATCTTATTCTGTACACATCCCGAAGTGGTCGTTTAGGATGCGCGCTACAAGAGGCACTGGATGGCCGTTCTTTCTCAGGATTGCTTAGCCTCTATTTGCAACTCATTATGAACTTGTGCGGTCATCGCCGTCAAACATGGCTTGCCAGTGCCCTTGACTTCGCGTGCGTTTAGGTTTTGATCCTGCAGCCCGTGTGCAGCTCATGTCATGCAGCTTAACATGTAGCATTGCTGGCCATTTTCCTTGGACGCCTGCTTGGCAATCCACCTTGCAGTCCTGATAGCCTGCTGGCATGCACAACGCCTTTCTGTGAGAAAGGCGACTGCAAGATGGTTTGAGGGGGCTCCCCTCACGCCATTGCTATCTGCACCCCACAGTCCCCAAGAGTCTGATAAGATGGACAAGCGAAGCCTTTCTGCGAGAAAGGTGACTGCAAGATGGTTCATAGCATCATGTTAGGCTGCTTGCAAGATTTGAACCTGCACCTTGCTGTGGCAACTTTAATCTCACAAGTCTGCCCCCTTGAAGCAGTTGCTGTCAGACATGGCAGGCTGGAGAGGGTTCTCGGCATCCATTTCATGATGGAGCATTTCTTATATTGACTGACAGTCCGGGTTGTCCCTCCTCTCTTGTCTGATCTGAAAGACAGCAACGAGAAATGGCGGGAGCCTTTACAAGCACGCCTGCGCGCGAAAAAGCTCCAGAATGTCTTGGCGGTCCTCACTGAATTTCAGCGTGCTGTTGTTGAAGCGTTGCGTGCGCAGTGCAAAGATGTCCAGAGCTGTCAGCTGCTGGAGGGGTTAGGGGCAGGGCCGGCAGGGCCCAGAAAGGATCCGCCGACCTGCGGCATGGAAGCTGTAAACCTAGTCGTTCCATTCCTTTGAAGATGATCTCATTCTAGAAAATGTTTGCAATTCATGAGGTGGCGGGTTATGCTGAGATGGGAAGCTTGACACTTCTATCACAGGAGAGCTTGGGCTGACGACTTCTGTTTAGCTTGCCCGGCTTGCTCGACTTGCTCGGCTGGCTCAGGGAGCTGGACAGACAGGTCGAAGACACCGTCGGAAGAACAGACAAAAGCCAGGCTGCCTGAACAGATCTGAATAGCTTTGACAGTTTCCCAGAAGAACTCCTCAGCCAGGTTCTCCGATGAAGAATGCATCTTCGGGGTCGCTGCCTCATCTTGTAATTTTGACATGGCCGCCGTGCTCTGTAGCGAGGCCAACCTTGTCCATGAAGGCCATCGGTCATGATGTGATTTAGCGAAGATCTGAAGCGTTTTCTTAGTCGCAGGCTGCCACATGGAAACTGCCAGCTTTTTACGATGTCAGAGGCAGAATTGGTACAGGCTCTGCCGCTGCGCCGCTGTGACTGTGATGGGTGTGTGGTTTGGGGTTTCGCCTTAGAGCTCGGGAGGATCCTATGGAACAGTGCGAGAAGCGAGCCTCTCAGCATGCGTCCCCCTTTTGGGTGCACTTGCTTGCGCCATTATCAAAGGCACTAGACAAGGATGCCGGTCGCATGGTGGCCATCAAGAAGATCCACTCTGTGCCCAAACCCCGGTCTCCTTTTTGTTGACAGGCATGTTGATGGACGCTCGCCTGATTCATTCCGAAGCATAAGATACATGCTCTACATATGGTTGGATCCACGGCCATTCAGCATAGGTGCAAGCAGACCAAGGTTTAGCAACAAGATCAATTGCAAGCGGATCTTGCGAGAAGTTGCCATCCTACAGCGCCTGGACAGCATGCGCAGTCGTGCGCAGCCTTTGCTGACATTTGAGCTTCGGCTTTTGCAGTCTTGCTTGCTCCTCTGGCTCCAGGACCATCCGTACATCGTACAGCTTCATGATGCCACTGGGTGGAAGGCCTTGCAAGCAGTGTCGAGCTGATGTTTCTGACGCTAAGGTCATACTGCCACACGAAGAAACCTTCGACGAGCTCTACATGGTGACATGGTGGCATCTTGAAATCTGGCCGGGTCGACAACGGTGGTAGCTGCTTTTTAGACAAAGGTGATGGAACTTGGAGATGCAGACGTCAAGACGCTGTGCCGGCAGCAGGCAGCAAACAAAAGGAATTCTTGCACGAAGCTGCCCAAGATTACTCTCATCATGTGCTGGGCGCAGGTGCACCTGGAGCTGCTGCAGGTGCTTAGCTCTTGTTCTGTCCTTCCGTCACAGATATTCCCAAGCTCATCTTGGCATCGTGGGGTTTGGGCCAGGTGAAGTTCGTGCTCTACCACTTGCTGGTGGCTCGACAGAGGATTTTTTTTGCAACTGGCAGCGCTGGTATTGCTGTCCCGCAGCGTGGGACATGGCATCGGCAGAAAACCGACAACACACCTATCCAATGTTCAAAGTTCTTCCTGAAATGCTATACCGATGCCAGTTGGCCGGGGCGGATGTCAATTTTGAGGCACACAGAGCTACTACTCGATCCAGTACAGGGATGTAGCAACTCTTGGGCCACTTGCTTTGTCTGAAACCTACCCGCCCCGCTCTTTACACCAACCTGCAAGCACCTGCTACTTCAAAATCCACAAGTTGCAAGAAGCCCACATGCAGGCACATTCGCTGAGCGTACTTCGTACCCAAGCATTGAACACGAGTTTTAAACTGACAACTGATACGTAATGTATTCCACCGAGCCGCTGCAAAAGCTGCAGTCCCAGCTTTGGCAACAGTGATCCTCTCCTGTCCGGGCACCGTCGGTGCCCCACATGTCCTCGAGGCATTTTTAAGTGGGCAGGCGTCCAGGGAGCCGGGGGCGGAGGGAAAGGGTTGGCATATGAACGTGGCAGTCCTTTAGAGGGACAGACCAAGCGCAGGCTGTCGGTTTGAGTTGCGTAGGCTGACCTGCATGCATAGCATGCCCAGGTGGGGCTCAAGTATCTTCATTCTGCGGGCATCTATCACCGTGATTTGAAGCCGTCGAACGTGCTTGTCAACCAGGACGCCGACTGCTAGGATATTTTGCCTCTCATACGTGCTCATTGCAGGATTGCAATGTCAAGATTTGCGATTTCGGCAAGCTTGGCCCACTTCACACAGTCGAAATTCGTGGCTATTTGCCTGTTTGCGGAGCCAGGATTGGCCCGGGCAGTCGGTGAGGAGTGCCGGGCTCAGACATGGACATGACCCAGACAAGTCGGATTTGTGTTAGGACACTGCCAGGCTGGATGACCAGGATGCAGAGCATGGAGACAAGGCACATCGCCACCATTATGGATGCACATGGGAGTGATATGCACTGTTCAGATTTCAGAAAGGCGCTTGAACAATCTGGGAGCTCTTGGGTCACTTCTTTCTTGAGCCAGGCCGTTCGAATCATGACGCAGCACGTTGTCACGCGGTATTATCGAGCGTCCGCGGCTAAGCACTGGAGCCGATGTAAGCCTTGCAGAGCCTTTGTTCAAGGGGCAGTTTATGCAGGCCAGAACTCATCTTGCTTGACAACTACACGGAGGTCACAGTATTTGCATGTATTTGCCTTGTCTGCGTCTTTGCGCTTCTGACTTGCAAGGCAATTGACCTGTGGTCTGTGGGCTGTATTGCTTTTGAGCTTGCTGAGATGATGGAGCCCAAGCCTCCAGAGGAAAGCCAACTGCTTCATGCGACAAATTCAGCGATCACATTGAGAGGACCGTGGTCCCTTGTTTCCTGGGTCGACTTGCTATCCCCTTTCGCCGGATTGCCAGCACAGACATGCTCGGTCCTGAGACCACCCGTGCGTCCAAGCAAGTCATGTGTCACTCGGCCGAGCTGCAGGATGTTGCCTTCCACTCTGGTGGATGTAAGGAGCAGCTCAACATGATTTTCGAGGCCTGCTTCCTGTGCTGACAGAACATGGCTGCAGGTGGCACGGACCAAGCCAATTTCCTTAACGCCAAGACACGCATATCGAGTGCAAGGGGTGCACGTAGATGTGACTCTTAGCAAAGCCCACGAGCAAAAACATGCAAAGTCCTGAAATCAAGAGCAGAATGCCGTTCCAGTGACTATGCAGCAAATGCAGTTTGTCACCCTCCCCAAATCAACATGACCTGAGAGACGAGGTCATCGGCACTCCCTCGGAACGTGACGTGGAGCTCCTTAGCCGAGAGGTGAGGATGAACAGATCTTTCGCAACGCGAGAGGGCTCTGGGAGTTTGGCGGATGCAGGACGCCCGCAAGTACATCCGTTGTTTCCAGCCGCGCACGACACTGAGAGCTGTTGACAAATTCTGGTATGTGTGCCGAACCTCGAAGAGATGTATACTTGTTTGTCTTCAGCTTGACACAGTGCTGCTCACAAGCGTGAATCAAATCATTGACTTCCAAAGTCTGTGGAGTGGTTTGGATCGCATATCTTGTGGTCTGAGGGTTGGGATGCGGCGTCCAACCCCGCCTTCCGAATGCAGCTCCTGATATGGCTTCGGCCTGTGATGGTGCAGGAGATTTCCAGACCACTGTAGTACGCGTCCCAGGTGGAGACCATCGAAGCGCTCCTGCGCTTCAACCCCCAAGAGCGTTCTACAGTTGAAGAGGCAGACTCAGCAACTCAGCAACTCTCAGCAACTCTCAGCAACTCTGGCTTTCGCAGCTTCGCCTCCCTGTGAGGCACTTGGGCATCCTCTCTTTGCGGACATCCGTGACCCTGTGAAGGAGGTGTTCAGTTTCTGAGAGATGTTCCGGGCCTGTAGCAGCTGCTTGCATTCGAGGTCCTAGCTTCCGGCTACATTACACTCGAGTTTGACCAGGCAAGCATGTTAGTAAGTATGCTCAAGTTCCTTGAAGCTTTCCGGAGATTTGTCCATAGCAGGAGCCGGACCTTAGTGAGCAACAGCTGAGACAGTGCTTCAAGCAGGACGGCATGCCCAGAGGCACTTCCATTCACAGCACTTGCTGACTGCACGAAGGAGATCCATAATTTTCGCAGAGCCCGGGTCGAAGCGTGAGCTTGCTAAACTGCGACAGAGGGGAAGCTTCTGAACATCAGGCCAGAGCTGGCCGCTGAGATGCAGAGATGACGGTGAGCCTTGAAGGGGTTCTTTGAGTCCACTTAGCTTGCGCAACTGGCATAAAGCGATTCGTGTTCCTGTTTTTCTTGGCAGCCGTTGGCCCGGGTCGCCACATGTCGCCATGACGTGCAAAAGGGAAACCCGTCCCTGCAAAAGGCGAGTTGCCCTGCTGACAGCATGCCCCTTGGCACAGATGTGCAACCTTGTACAACCGCCTGCGTGGCCTGACTTTATACAGTTTGGGATTCTGTGTTCTATCCGACGCTGAGATGAGGCTTGCTTGGAAGCTTTTTCTGCTTCAACCCTGCCTCATGGCTGCAAGAGCTTCAGGTGCAGCAATCACGCTGGATTGGTCAAAACGGCCAGGAGAGACTGAGCGCCTTTGCAGGTATCTTTGCGAGGCCGTAGAGGCACACAAATATGCGGATGTTTCGCAACATATGCCTGGATGTTCCTCCATAGGGACCCCCTTTCAGAATCCCTCTCCATACGTCTTGGGTCCGAAAGAAGAAATCTTTTTCGAAAACCCCCATTCGTGTCACCGGGATCCTAGGACCATGCAACGGCAAGCTCCTTGCCAAAGATCTCGCACACGGAACTGCACGTTGCATGGAATCAGGCACTAGCTCTTGATTCTGCACAGTTTCAGCTGTGCATGTATTCACTTTGGTTCCTCCAGGCATTGACCGGGGCTTTGTACGCACCAAGCTTGGCAGACACTGAGGAGCCTCACAGAACCTTGTCTACGGAGAACCAGAACAGGCATTGTTGTTGGCTGTATTTTAGGCAGCATGCCCTGAGAGTCAATGGAAATAGTTTGGCTTCAGGGCCGCGAGGATGACGAGCTTTCCATGTTCCATCCTAAGCTAAAAGCACTGAGGTCCAGTCTGGGGCGTAGGAGCAAGAACGGCGGCACCAGAGATGGGAGACGCCGCCAACAGTTAGTGAGAAATAGTTGTAAAACATCAACCCTCT